CTATTTCCTTTATTTTGTTTTTAAGGTCTTTATCCATCTTACTGACCTTCCCTTCATTGCTTTTACAAAGCCTGTTCTATATTATGGCTTTGGGTGCGACTGCTGAAGCACAATCCCTCTCTATTCAAAAAATGAAGAAGGATCTGGCGGTCATCATGAAAGAGGCTAACAAAGCAAAGACTGATCTCAAGATATGCACCGAGGCTAAGCATGTATACAAGAGGCAGCTTGTAACTTCACAAGCGAGGGTGGAGGCCGAGAATCAACGGTGGAGGGAGTCTGTCCTGACGTGCATAAATGTTGGAAAGCAAATGCAGGAGCGTTACTCCGGGATCGTGTGCTTATCTAGCACTAAGGCCTTCAGATCCGACTTCATTTAGGGCTCTGGTGAGAAGAAGAAAACTCCAGAGCTTTTTGGCAAAGACATGGGGTTCGCCTTCCCTTCTGCTAATGGTCCGAAGGCCAAGGAGGCCGAGGTGTTGTTCACTGAGATGGTGAAGGGAAATCATCTTGTTCTTCAAGCCCCCAATTCACAACAGCTCGATCATGGCCGTAATGTTGTGGCTGATTTCCCTTCCACTCCTTTTAACCCCAAGACAAAGTAGTTTTGTTTGAGGGTATTTTTATTTAACTCTTAGGTGGGTTGGTTCATGTCCTTCCCCCTGTTTTGAACAACGTTATATCTGAATTTCTATGTTTTGCACCAATGTGCTCGTTATGATTCCTTGTCTTGATTATCCTCTGGCATCCTTCTGTGCTTTAAAGAAAAATATTATTATTATTATTATTATTGATAAGGAGAAGTTAAATAAAAGATAAGAGGACGTGGTTCAACCGGTTAAGGATAACCTCGGCACAATAAATCATCTCCCCCAACAAATCTGGCAACCAACGAATCTCCTCTGATCTTGCAAACGAACTGAGGGAGAGCGGCTATAAGAATGAGACCCTACCAATCAATCAGGTATGATGAAAAACAATTATTAAATCCGTACCTTTCTTTTAGACCTCTGGTGACTAACTTGATCATCAGAGAGCTCTTGGTAGGCACCACACCAATGTCGTCAAGATTCATCGATCTTCTATTATCTTCTTTACAGGAAAACGGTGTCGTACCGAGTCACGCGGATTTCTTCCCCAACAGTTGGTGCCGTCTGGTGGGAACGACGATTCGCTTAAATCATTAAATTACTCAGATGGGTATATGCATTTGCAGTCCGCTATGCTAACTAGAAAAGAAACATTGTTGTAGGGATCCAATCAAAGAAAAGGATCGAATGAACACCCAGACATCCCGAACGACCAGGAACGGCTTGCAGCGTTGGAACTATAAGTCCAAACTCTGAATCAAGGTATGGACCAGTTGGTCCAGCAAAATGCAGCGATCCTGCAACATCTTATCCCAACGGGACCACCACCTCAACAAAAATTGTCCGACCCATCTCCTCATAATCTCAATAAAGGGGGAGAAAACGGGGAGGACCGAGAAAATGATCCTCTTTACGAGTTTGAGGCAGAACAAAGCCAAGTCGGGAACCGACACAGAGAACCTCCTCCTCCACCTCCACGAAATCCCAAGCCTCAGAGAGGCACAACCTTCTGTGTTGAGGAGAAGACAGAGAAAGTTACCTATTTCGACCTACAGATCGAGGATCTCAAGGCGAAAATGGAAGATGTAATGCAAACTATGAAAGGGAAAGGTCCTGCTACCATAGATAACTTGGTGCAGAGGACCAACTTGCCATTCAGCTCCGCCATTATAAAATGCCCCCTGCCTAGCAAGTTCAGGATGCCCTCGTTCGAAAGCTTCAATGGGACCAAAGATCCCCTCGATCACCTGGAAACCTTTCAAGCTCTTATGCATTTACACGCCGTGCCGAATGAAATCATGTACCGAGCCTTTCCCACGACACTTAAGGGATCGACAAGAGTTTGGTTCAACAAACTGAAGCCAGGAACCATCGACACCTTTCGAAGAACTGAGTAAGCAGTTTGTGAGTCACTTCATTACAGGTCAGAGGCATAGCAGGCCGCCCACCTACCTACTGACTGTGAAGCAACAGAAGGGATAGTCGATCCAGGAATACATCACCCTATTCAACACAGAGATGTTGCAGGTAGAAGAGGTGGATGACAAGGTGGCTTTGACCGCTTTCATAGGAGGACTTCAAACCTACAGATTCTTGTTTTCCTTATCAAAAGAACCTCCCACCAACATAGCAGAGTTGTTGATCAGAGCGCTGAATCACATGAAAGCTAAAGACACTATGAATGCACGGAAGGAAAAGGAATGAAAGGACAAGAAGAGGTCAGCCCCTAGCGCCAGGGATGAAAAGGAAACCAAATATAAGAAATCATTCTTCAACCAAAGCGATAGGACATATGATGAGAAAAACTCAGATAAGTATGCCAACTACACTCCTCTAAACATGTCAATTGACCATATTTTCTTACAGATCCAAGACGATGCGTCTTTGAAATAGCCACAGAGGATGAAGTCTAATCCAGCGAAAAGATCTCGAGATAAGTATTGCAGGTTCCATCGGGATCATGGGCACACTACGGATGATTGTTTTAACCTTAAGAATCTGATCCAAAGGGGTCACTTACAAAAGTTTGTTGTCAATGAAGGGACAAGCCCTAATAAATGCTTTCTGGGGCAGCAATCAATTAGGGAAATCAATATCATCTCTGGATAAGTAGACTTGGGATGATGAATCTAACTTGGCTCAGAAGGCTAGCATGATAAAAATTGTCTCATGGATGGAACTAGCCTTATCAAGTCATTCAAAATAAAGACTGGGGCATGTCAGTTAATCATTTTAAATGGAGGATAGCTCCCTCGCATGTTATCTTGTTTTCCAATAAAGTCACCATCACCAATGAGATGGATGTCCTTCACTTTTTATGCAATAAAATATTATGTTTTCATTTACTTACCTACGTGGTAATGCTTTACAGAAAGCTAAAAAAAAAAAAAAAAAAAAAAAAAAAAAAAAAAAAAAAAAACCAAGCCTTTACTAAAAGGATTAGGCGAGTAAAGCTCGTGAAAACATTTCCCTTACCAAAGGGACAAGCTGAGTGAAGCTCGTAAAATCTAAGTCCCTTACTAAAAGGACAAGCTGAGTGAAGCTCGTAAAACCTAATTCCTTTACTAAAGGGATGAGCTAAGTGAATCTCGTAAAAATTAATTCTCTTACCAAAGGGACGAGCCGAGTGAAGCTCGTAAAAACTAATTCTCTTATTAAACCTGCCAAAAGGATGAGCAGACTGAAACCCATAAAATCTACAAATAGTATGTTGGATTTTCAAAAGAAAAATCCAGCTTTACATCACTAAGAGTCATTGACCATGGGTTTGAATCCATACCCTTCCAAAACAGAATATGAATTTGATATCTGTCTCAGGAGCAATACCCGGGGGTAAAGTTCCCCTCGGAAATAGTACTCGAGGGTAAAGTCCCCTTCGAGAATAGTATCCGGGGGTAAAGTTCCCCTCGGTAAAATTTCCCTCGGGAATAGTACCTGGGGGTAAAATTCCCCTCGGTAAAGTTTCCCTCGAGAATAGTATTCGGGGGTAAAGTTCCCCTCGGTAATAATGCTCGAGGGTAAAAAAAAAATTTACCCTCGAGAACAGTGCCTGAGGGTTAAAAATAAATAAATTACTCGTGGGAACAATGCCCGAGGGTAAAAAAAAAAAAAAAAAAAAAAATTTACATTCCCAAAGCTAGACGAGCAAGCTTGGAAATGCGGGGCAACTGATAAGGAGAATTTAAACAAAAGATAAGATGACATGGTTCAACCGGGTAAAAATAACCTCAGAAAATTTCAAGTTCAAAGGGATAGATCATCTCCCCAACAAATCTGGCAACCAACGAATCTCCTCTGATCTCGCAAACGAAATGAGGGAGAGCGGCTATAAGAATGAGACCCTACCAGTCAATTATGATGAAAAACGATTACTCCCTCTGTCCCATTTTACATGTCAGTTTTGGGAACCGTGACTCACAAATTTGTCAGTCACGGTTCCCGAAACCAACATTTAAAATGGGGCGGAGGTCGTATTTAATGCATGCCTTTCTTTTAGACCTCCGATGACTGACTTGATCATTAGAGAGCTCTTGGCAGGTACCACACTGGTGTCGTCAAGATTTATCGATCTTCTATTCTCTTCTTTGTAGGAAAACGGTGTCGTATCGAGTCGCACAGATTTCTTCCCCAACAATTATTATTATTATTATTAATTTTTTTTATTTATTTTTTTTTTTAGGTGCAAAAATTCGTCAACTTTGAAAAGTCAAATAATAAGAACAATACACTCAAAGAAAATAATAACAATAATGCAAACAAAAGATTGAATTTTCAATGTGTGCTTTTATTGAAAGTTTATGCCTCTATTTATACAAGTTTTGGTGGAAAAATTAGGGTTAGACTCGCATTGCTTGCCCCCTACGAATCTTCCATAGGTGATAGTTTCCTTCTACAATTCTTCCATATAAGACTCTTTCTATAATTGCAATATGCATGATTGATAAACTCAAACAGATGTACCTCCTTCATGGTCAAGCTTTGGATTGGGCTGAAGATATGGAATTGGGCTATCTTACTAACTGGGCCAAAAGATTAAACCCTTCCATATCTTTAGGCCTACTTTGTTGGGCTTTCAGAGTTAGGCGGCCCAAGGGAAATATTGTGAAAAATGTGTGAGGTGACGTGGCCAATTGTAATTGGACAGAGAGATCTTTTCCCCCAACAAATATATTTTTGAGTTCTTCTAAAATCGAACACTACTAGATTGGTAAATTACCACAACTTATTTATCATGTATTGTTATGGTAAACTAGCTATTAGTTAGCCGAGAAACCATGATCAAATTAAGCAACATTCTCGCTATTTCCCTTATAAATTGCAAAAGGGGAGGAGAGATGGCACAAAACATTCAGCCATGCTTCAGATATTGGAAATACTCGGTAACAACTTCATATATTTTTGAACCATGTATACAGAATAAACATAAACTTTATGATATGATTAAAACTTTCTAGCACAAAAGATCATCCTTCTTAGAAAATGAAATTGCTAAAGGAAAATGAAAGGATACCCCTAGATCTATTTTACAGTTGCAACAAATGATCATGAATAGAAGATAAACCTAATTGAACATAAAAGAAAGTTTCAATTGTGTTGGATGCTTAAAATTCCCAAAGAATGATCTGACAATGAAGATAAGAGATGGATGGGTGATTTCCAAAACAAATGCAATATGCTGTAGACTTCATAGATAATGGCAAGTAGATCCAGGGACCAGCTGGAATTTCAGACCAGTTTTAGAGCTATTTTCAATGAGAGAGCCTGCGAGAATGCGTTCTTGATTCAAGTTGTGTTTTTGAACTTAGACCTCGCATGTGTCCACTTCTACTGCCAACCGAGTTCAAGTCCAAACCAAGACGAATGACTGCATCTCCTCCTTCTAATAGTCTGAGGATCTAATAATTTAAAAGAAATAAGAAAATGTTTCCAATATAAGAAACCAATCTACCCATTTCATAAGTAATAAATAAATGAAAAAAGTTTCTTCCTGAAAGAACAAAAAGATAATTATATCGTCAAGAAATGTTCCATTATATCGTCAAGAAATGTTCCAAATATTAATGGGATTACGAGTTAGGGGTAGGAAACCTTTGACATAGGGGGTCTGCAATCAGGATCTTGTTGTAGACACAAGGAGGCAGCTCGAGCTATTGCCTGTAGTTCATGGGATAAGTTGTGGAGTTGGCCAGAGGCTGCAGCTGGGTCCAGCAATTGATGATTATTTGCTAAGAGATATCTTGGTTCCAATGGGGCAAAAGCAGAAAAATTTTCAGTCAAAAATAGCTGTCCCTCATAACTTTGCAAGTCACTGGTTTTTTGGTTTGTAATCAGCTCTAACAATACTAGCCCGAAAGCATATATATCAACTTTCTCTGTAATTTTTCCACCATGGAAATACTCCGGTGCAAGATACCTAGAGTTAAGACACATATGATTTAATTAAATGACCATAAAAGATCAAAAGAGAAGAAGGTGGGTATAACTGGGGCTTTGCAGCCAAGTTAAGATCGAGCAAATTCAACAAGTACCCTGAAGTTCCAACAACTCGCTCTTCATCACGGCTATCCCATTCAGCATGCAACCTAGCTAGCCCAAAATCACCAACCTAAACAAATACACCACATAACTAGACTAATAGAACTGAATTTATTATACACTAAATAAGAAAATAACAGGAAGCAAAAGCATGACATTTAAATTGTGAGGGAATGGTGACATTTAATAGAGCACTCATTCTAATGGACATAAATAAGTACATTTGATGTTGATAAATTTGTGCTCCTGGTGTAAAAAAATGTGATACATGCTTCTACGGCAACAATTCAATAGACATACCAGAGGCTCATAATCGTGGGTTAGGAGGATGTTGCTAGGCCGCATATCTCTATGAACTATGCAACCCACTCTGCAATCTTCATGCAGGTATCGTAAACCTCTTGCTGCACCAATAGCTATTTTTAGGCGTGATTGCCAATCTAGAGGTGTTCTCTTGTTCCCTTTCAATCAGAGAAGCATTATCAAAGTCAAAGAATTGCATTGTGCTTATAAGTCCAACATACTAACTGAATACTCAATCAAATGCATCTACAAAGTACATACAAACAAGCAAACACACATACACACACACACACACACACAAAGACACAGAGAGTGAGAGAGAGTAAATGGAAGAAATGAAATAGAAAATACCATGTAAATGAAAGTCCAAGGAGCCATTGCATATATACTCATAAACTAATACTCTTTTCTTGCTCTCAACACAAAACCCAATGAGCATCACGACATTCCTATGTTGTGCACAGCTCAATACTCGCACTTCTCCGCAGAAATCAGCATCTCCTTGACTCCCTGAAAATTTTAGTTGCTTCACTGCAACCACCTGACCATCCCTCAAGACTCCTCTGTGAACCAATCCAAAACCACCTTCTGCTAAGAAATTGATATCCGCAAACCCGCCCGTAGCTTCCTCGAGCTCTTCATAAGCAAAACGTCTAGGGGGCTTTCCGAAAGTAGGTGCCTTGTGTTGACATAGTGAGCATAAAGGAGGAGGTATGGAGGAAGTTCTTCCTAAAGATACTGCCTCTCTGATGCTCGAGTTTAAAATGTAGTTTCTGTCATGGCTCTGGTCCCCAGGTCCTATCATCTTATCTTCATTAAACTGCACAAACTTATCAAGTAGACTTTTGGTAGTTGGAGATTTTTTTTTGTGGGTGTTTCTGTGATTTATGGTTATTGGGTCCTTCTCATCAATAATGTGGTTTTGGGGTATCCAAAACACACTCTTATGGTTACTAGTAACAGATGGTTTTGAAGTTGTTAAGAGAGTAGTTTCCCCTTCATCATCCATGTCAAATGCTGAAAGTGAAGCATCCAAGTCATTTTGTCTAGTAATTGGTGTATACTTCCCGCTGTTCAGTCCATCAAAAAGTGGATTTTGTTCATAAACAAAGAAAAGAGAAGTCACTGTGCCAGGACTGAGTAACAAATTTTCTTCTGTGGTTCCTGCATAGGATGTTCCAGTTTCTTCAGGGCTGCTAACAGGAGTTGAATGCTTCATCCTGTGATCCGGTGACTTTCCAACTACTGGACGAGGTGAAGAAGAAGCAGAAAAGAAGGGGGTTTGCAGTTCATTTGAGCATTCTAAATTAAGCCTAAGGACTTTGGGTCGAGAACCCTTCATCAGTACAATGTTACACCGAAGTTCCCCCATGCAATGCTTCTTCTCTTGCTTCAGTTTACTGTCTCAGCAGATCAGAACCAGTGTCACTTAAGTTCTATTTAAAATCCTTCTTATTACGCAAAAGGAAAAAATGAGTTCAAGGACTGTGATAACAAAATAAGGATGGGAACTTCAAATACAAATCGTAGTAGTTACATTATTGATTGATTTACAATAACAGTAGTATGTGAAGCTGGAAAGACCAGAATAATTCATATCAAGAACTTAATCATCAGAACCAACTTAACTAAAATGGTGAGAAAAGTAAAAACATAACAAAAGAGTGTCATCAATATAAAAAGTTTATATGAACCTCTGTGAAATGTAAGTACAGAACTTGTTTTAGTATTATGGCCAACCACAAGAATTATAAATATAGAGATATATATATATATATATATATATATATATATATATATATATATATATTTCGGGATAGGAAGTATAAACTGATGTAGAAGTAGATCTAGTAGTGAGTACATTAGGATTACATAATTGCACTAACCAGGAGATGCATGATTTAGTGTGTTGAAAAACCACAACCCTGAACTGACACAGTTTTGGAAGGGAGCCAAAGAAACCTACGACCATCCTATCTATAATAAGAACAATATAAACTTCAAATTAAATTTAAAAAATAAAATAAAATAAAAAAGTCATTGGAAATAAAATTAACTGGGTTATGCTCAATCGGGTTTGGAGGCAGGAGGCCCCAAATCAATTTGTCTGATAATTGGCTGGAATTGGTTCGCCGGAAAATGCCAGATGGTCTAAGCATATCTGTTTATTTTAGAGTATTGAGGGCACACACATTTTTTTGTATGATTCGGATATTGCCATCACCATGTGGAAGAGATAGTCATCCTAGTACAACTTTTCTGAACTTAAACCATTATCGCAAAATAAAATCACTGTACTGCCGTCCAAATTGAAAGGGCTTAAATCAATTGCTGAAGTAAGGGATACATAGTCATATACAAGTAAATAGAAAAGGACAGGCAGCTTAAATACAAGTTCCACACCACCATTAACACCTTCAAGGTATACTTTAAGTGGCAAAAGGTATATATAAACAGACAGATAAACTATAAACACATTATCAAGAACAAAATTAGCTTATTTTATTTGAGAAATTTGATTCCATTCCCATGAGGAACTTATGACTGGAGGAAATAAAAAGTATGTGGAAGACTTAAGACCAAGCAATTAAAATAATAGAATAGAAAAATAGTAGACTAGAAACAAGAAATAATACTTTATGTTGAATTACTTGTCCAATACGACCCAATTGGCTGCATTGCTTTTCGCTTCATACGCCACAGCACCAGTAGGTGCACCTGACACCACTTTAATCCGCACTCTAGCCTACAAGCGATAAGGATCAACTTATTATTAAACATTTGTTATTCATGTTACTTCAGAATTAACAAAAGACAATATTAAACATTTTTTTCATGCAGCAGATAGTTGTATTATCACATAAAAATTGAGAATACACCGACTAATCAGTGGTTAAATGTTAGGTACTCAATTCCAAGCTTTTTTATTTCTTGTCCAGTGTTAAGCATAATACAGTCCATAAATAATAGTAACAATTAGATAATTATATTGAGCATCATGATTAGTAAATAATGATAAACAAACTGATAAAGTATCTAAAAAGCAACCATAAGATTCCTAAATCTCCATTAATCTATCATATTCACATGTGACCTTCAAATGGCTTCAATTAATTTACTAGCAATTACATTGGATCCCTACAAGCCCCGAATCTTCTAAAACCCTGACACCTAAATCATCATCTGTTAAAATGCATATCGATCATTCAGATTGCCCGTCCACCGGGCAATTACCGGAAAATTTACAAGGATTCGAACTTCCAATATCCAAAAACATTTGAGAACAAGAGATTGTCATCTACTTTTCAAGTCAAAATAACTAAAATTAGTATATGAAATGGCAATTCGGTAATTTGGAGTTACCTCGATTTGGTTATGAAATTGAAGAACCATCTGAGAACAAGACTCGGAGATCTGACCTATCCGATCCGGAGATTTTTCCTGGTCTCCGTTCCGGCAATCACCGCTCAGTCTCGGAAATCTCCATAATCTCCGACCTGTGTACAACATTACAGTGGCTTGATTCACAATTAAGAAAAGAGATAGGAGAGACAAAGAAGAGTTAGAATTGCCGAAGTACCAGCTTTTTGGCTCGAAAAGACGGCGAGCAGCGTAACGCAATCGCCGGGACGAACCACGTGAGTGAGAGCCCAAGCCAATGCATTCTTCGAGATCACCTTCTCTGCTTTGACGGCGACGATCACCTCATCAGACACTGTACAATTTGGTACAGTTTTTGGCGGGAACATTTGGGATGCCAGTTTCTGCCAACCGCCGGAAAATTCAGTAGAAAAAGTGGTGGAGGGCTTTTGAAGGGTCTAGTCTCTGTTCTCGTTATATTGAAAGAACTAATTATTGAGTGAAGGGCAAATTTGGAAGTTGCAACTAGAGTTAGTTTAACTATAGTTGTGGATCATATACTAAAATGTCTTACACTAAACTCGGCAAAATATAGGATGTTAACCTAACCATGTTTTATTGGACAGCACATTTTCCCCTTTATTGACCTTTTATGGAAGATACTTAGCTCTCACTCTCGGTAGATATTGGATGCTTCAGCTTCAAAAAAAAAAAAAAAAAAGGTTGACCACCTACTTATTAAATTGATCATAATAATATGTTATATTTTATTTAGTAGATAAATTAATGACATGATCTGAAATGGTGGGAGTAATCTTAAGAGGAGTGACTCGGCGACTGTCCATTCACAGTCGTCGTTTGGATTGATTAGTTTTAAATGTATTAATTAGTTTGAATTTTTATTTTTATGAGACTCTACGAACATTACTTGTTAGACAAAAATACTCTTTTAAATTATGATTTTCTTCTTATCTCCTCTTTTAATCGATTCATATGGAGATGTATGTGTATGTATATATATAATAATAATAATAATAACTAATGTGATGTGAATGGATGCTGAAAAAAAAAAAAAAAAAAAAAAGTTTAGATAGGATAATCCATTCACAAGAAATGGATTCTGAAAAAAAAAATCCAAAAAAAAAAAAAAAGAAGAAGAAGAAGAAGAAAAAAGAACAATATAGATTTAGAGATTTAAAAAAGATATATACAAAATTAGTTTTATATATGTATATATTTCTTTATTGGTGAATGAATTATTTTCTTTTCTTTTATTTCATTTTTTTTCTTAAAATCCATTTATACAAGGATTGTTGTAAAACTCAAAAAAAAAAAACAAAAAGAAACATATATATATATATAGGAAAAAAACAAAAAAGGAAGAAATATATAATTGATTTTTTTTTTTTTTTTTTACCTTTCTTTTTATTCTTTTTGGATTTTTTTCTCTCTTTTTTTTTTCTTCTTCCTTTTATTTTTTTCCAAATCCATCCATATCTTGTGAATGAATTATCCTATCTATATTTTTTTCCTTTTTCAAAATGCATTCACATACATAACACATCCTTGATTAAAAGAGGAGAGAAAAAGAGAATAAGAAAAAATATTAGATAATTTAAAAGGGTATTTTTGTCTAACAAGTAATGTTAGTAGAGTCCCATAAAAATAGAAACTCAAACTAATTAATGCATTTAAAACTAACCAATCCAAATGGCAACTGTGAATGGACAGGCACTAGCACTCCTCATAACTTAATTAGGAAATAAAAAATAGTATGTGTGCGGTGTTGCGGAATTATTTAACAATTAAGATAAATTATACTGACATCATTTATAGTTTGTCATAAGTACAGAGACCTCCTCTATAATTTGTCATAATTACACGAACCTCTCCTTAAAAATGAAACATTGTTAGACAAATCTCCCTTTTTAACAGTCAACACGAGTCAAAGGACGGAATTTGCTGATATCATGTACTAGATAAATTAAAATTCCTATATTATCCTTGGTTGATATATATATATATATAACCTACCTCTTCTTCTTCACTAAAGGCTTTCGTTTGATTCCAAATGGTTAAACCATCTCAATCTATAACTCTTACCTTGAATATTCCAATCGGTTATTCTCTCTTTGTTTTGCTATTTTTAATTTATCTTATTTTCATGGAATATAGTGTTCCTCGTGTGATTGCAGATGATTTTCGGTAACTTAATCCTTGAATTCAGAACCCTAGCTCACAACAGATAAAAGTGTTCCTCACCGACTCTTTCACCGTCAGCATGTCCCCACAGACTATTACCATGGTCCTTGACATAGGTAGCGAACTCTCTTGGCAATAACATAAAATTCTCTATGATTTCTTTCCTCTTTTTTCTTTTTCTTGGATGCATCATCATCACCATGGTCTTCCTCCTTTAAAATGGGTATATAAAAGAGAATTTATAGAGAGAAAGAAAGGAGAGAGAGTAAAGAAGACATTAGAAGTCCCAAAAAAAAAAAATATATATATATATATATATATATATTAATGTTAGCAATTTGAGGGAAATTTAGTAAATTAGCCAGGAAGCACCTAGGAACCTAGGAAACACGTGTATACTTCTCTGATGCTGCGTTTAGCGTGCAGAAATTGAATGGAATGGAATGCCCATTCCAACCATTCCTTTATTTGGTATGCAATTTAAAGTGGGAATGGTCATTCCATTGGAATGAAAATTCATTACTGGAAATGAAAATCCATTCCACAACTAAACCTATGGAATGACCATTCCATTCCCAAGTAAATTTTTTTAAAAAATCAACTTCCCAAAAAAACTCTCATGTTCCAAGTCTAAAAACCACCATTACCTTCCACCATTACCACATCTGCATTTTACCACCACTACCACTGCCTTCCACCACCCACCGTTTTCGCCATCGCCTTTCACCATCGTCACCACTTTTCACCACCGCCACCATCATCGCCTTTCACCACAGCCGCCATCTTCCACCACCACCTTCACCACCGCTACCTTCCACCATCGCCACCACCACCGTCACCGTCTTCCACTACCACCACCGCTGCCTTTCACCCCCACCATCTTCCACCACCGCCATTACCTTCCACCATTGCCACCACCTTTCACCAATGCTACCACCTTCCACCGCCGCTACCGCCTTTCACCACCGCCACCACAACCGTTATCGCTTTTCACCACCACCACCGCCATTGCCTTCCACCACCACCTTCCACCACCGCCACCACCACCGCCACCACCATCGTTACTGCATTTCACCACCGTCACCGTTTTTCACCACTACCACCACCATTGCCTTCCACCACCGCCACCCCTTCCACCACCGTTACCGCCTTCCATCACCACCACTGTTATTGCCTTCCACCACTGCCACCCCTTCCACCACCGTCACCGCCATTTCCTTCCACCACCGCCACCCCTTCCACCACCGTCACCGACTTCCACCACCACCACCGCCATTTCCTTCCACCACCGCCACCCCTTCCACCACCGTCACCGCCTTCCACCACCACCGCCATTTCCTTCCACCACCGCCACCCCTTCCACCACCGTCACCGCCTTCCATCACTACCACCACCACCACCTTCCACCACCGCCACCCCTTCCACCACCGTCACCGCCTTCCACCACCACCACCACCACCACCACCTTCTACCACCGCCACCTCCATTGCCTTCCACCACCACACCACTACCACAGTCAACTTCATTGGCTTCCACCACTGTCACCTACACCAATATCTCCTTCCACCACCAACACCACTACCACTTTCCAGCTCCACCACCGCCACCATTTATTTTTAAAAAAAATTATATAAGAATGTTATTTTATTAATTTAATTTTTTTGTTACTAAGAGGGATATTTTGGAGAACTCAATTTGAAATTTATTCTATTCTAAATTTTAAATTGGTCCAACTAAACACTAGAATGGTTATTATCATTTCATTCATATACATTTCATATTTACAACAAAACAATAGAATGAAAATGGTCATTCCATTCTATTTCCATTATCATTCCATTCTCTCTTACATTCCTGAACACCAAACGCAGCATTAAGGTGTCGTGACAGTATCAGATACTCGGACAGTCGAACACTTCTTGAGTATACAGATACGACTATAATTATTTATTATATTATCATATTTAACCAAAGGTGTTAAATTGATTACTATGAACCTAGGAAGCACGTATATTTTTCTTAAGATAACATGGCGGTATCGGATACTTGAACACTTTTCGGATATGCAGATACAACTAAAAATATCCTGAATAATAAATATAATATTTTCTGGTCGGAATGATTGGGACACGGGTGTGGACACATAAATGATATGTTTTGGACACTTTCACGACATAAAAGATTGATTTGTAATTAATTTTAAAAAAAATGAAATTAAATGCAATCTAAAATATATTATGGATTAATTAAAAAAATAATACAAAAATTTAAGAAAATAAAAATTACAAACATCTAGCTCTAAATTCCAAATTAATGATTTATTTATGATTATATGGATAAAATGACAAAAAAATATGTTATATATATATAAGTATATATCATATTATATTTTTTGATATATTCATGCCATATTTGTATTTTTTTATTTTTTTTAAATTTACTATATTCATATTGTGTCATATATCCCATATGCGGAACTGTACTTTGTAGATATAAACAAAAGCACGGACACTCTCCCACCCACTGGTGCTGTGTTAGTATCGAGGTTGAGAGAAGTGATTCGAAGTGTTGTTTAATTATTATTTTATTTATTTATTTTTTTGATTAGTCATGGCTCGAACATTGCAGCAATAAGGTTCAGATACAGTGGAATATAGTTTACAATTATTCTTTTTGAAAGATGGAATTGCAAAATGTAATTTTAAATATATCATTAGTAAGACAAATTGAAAAAAAAAAAAAAAAAAAAAAAAAAAAAAAGGTGTGTAATTTCATAGAGAAAATAAGTTGCAATCACTTGGAAAGTCAAATTGGTTAATTTAGACAAATGATAAAATGAAAACAAATTTTATATATATATATATATATATATATATATATATATATATATTTCTTTAATGGCAAAAAACACACGCCACTCTCATATCCACTTTTTTCCTTTGGGACTCGAACCTATTGTGGTGAAAAACTAAAAAAACAACGCTATTCGAGTAATAAACATAAGCAATATAAAAAATAATTACACACAAGAACACAAGATATACATGGTTCACCCAAAGATTAAGGTTACATCTATAGAGCACACCATGAAAAAGATGAAGAATTACAATAGAGAATTTTCTCTCAATTTATTTCATTGCGCTTTCTTGTGTTGGCACACGTGTATATAATCCCCCCTTATCTAACCCTAAAATCTTATTAGAGTTGATATATGTAGTCCTAAGCAATGAAACCCAATTTGTCCCACAATTTTTGTAGAGTCCAA